AACAATAACTTGTATTATATGTTGGTCCTTATTAAAGATTCTCAAGTTCTATCTCAACTCAAATTTTCAAGCCCACAAAGTAAGTGGGTGTTAAAAGTATTATGTTCATCCTTGTTAAGTCCTTGTCTCCCATCCCCTTCTCTTGTCTTTTTTTTTTCTCTCAAAAAAGTTTAAGGTAAAACTATCGGTTGACCAGTAGACCATCTGAGGTAATCATACATGCTGCTAATTAAGGGTGTGTTTGGGAGTGATTTTGGTATGGCAAAATCACTTTTGCCATTGCCAAAATCACTTCCATTTCCATTAATCATGTTTGGCAAATTAAAAAATTGATTTTAAGAAAACATAAAATCACTTAAAATTAATTTTTAAGATATCACTTAGGTGTTGATTTTGGAAAATCAATTATTCTTAAATCTATTTTTTCAAAATCACTCCTTCTACCAGCACTTCCAAACACACCCTAATAGCAGTTGAAGAATTAAAATTTCATCCTTGTTACATAATAGTTGGTATTTTGGAAACTTTAGGTGGGAATATCTTAATGATGGACCTTTTCTTACAATCTTCCCATCATTGATACATTTATGTGACTCACAACAACTCCATAACTAATTAAGACAGTGGTAGAAATTACAGAGGAAAAGAGAACCAATCAAATATTAGCCAAAAATGTAGGAGTGATGTAATACAACCATATTAAAACAATACCACAAATCTCTTTATTACTACATTGGAAACTAAAACTATTCATGCAAAACAACTTGCTGGCACGTTTGAGATAGAAAAATGCCTAACCTGCCAAGATAATGGCTCAAGCCATAGATTATCCACAACGTCAAAATTTGGTAATAGAAGAGCAATAAGACCACGACCAGCTGCCCAAACAGCATGTGGGAACTTCGTCTCCCTTGTCCACTGGAGAATAAACCTCAATTAATCAGTATATATTAAAATGGCAGGACTATTTTAAATATTTTAACTTGATTCTAATAAGAAAAATAAAAAAGCAAATGACTATTATTCATGACATAAATGATATACTTCTTTGACGCCTTGAGAGGAAAAGAAAAACTGGCGGAAAAAAACATTCAAATTCTCCATCAGCTTCTCTGACGCCTTGAGATTCAAAGAGCCCCGTTAATCGAACCTTGATTGTCTGCTTTGGACTTTCTAACTTCTCCTCTTCCTTTTGCTCATTTAAGAGAAACTATAAGTCTTCATCAAACGATTATTCACGAAAATTTTCTATAGGAGGTCCTAAAGACTTTGGGGATGAATAGAAGCTATTACTGCTAACTGCACCATCATCAGAAGCTTCTTCATCATCTGAAAAATCCAAAGACAAGCTCCTTCGATCCCTACCATCATTGGTGGAGTTGATTGATCCGAATGAAAGAGACTTTAGCACTACTTCTTTTCTTTTATTGCTAGAAATCTTTTTTTGGTTAGCAAAAGACGAATCTCTTTCCTCATTAAATGTTTTGTTCAGATTTACTTGGAGAACTCCAACTAAAAAGGAATCTTTTTGATATAGAAGTAGACAGATGGGCATCCTTTACTGAGAAGCTTGAAGGAGTAGTGTTGGGGCAAGGTCGAGACATTTTGTGGTGGAAGGTAGACAGGTCTGGAGTCTTTTCGGCTAAATCAGCCTTTTTGGCGTTAACGACCCATTCTCCCAGGATGCAGTCCTCTACAGCAAATCAGATTTGAGTTCCTAAAAAGGTGAAAGTGTTTATATGACTTTATTCAATAGAGGGATTAATACGGCGGATAAACTTCAAAAAAAGCTTCCTCATTGATCCCTTTCTCCCTCTGTGTGTAGTCTGTGTTTACAAAACGCAGAAACGGTGGACCATCTTTTCTACACTGCTCGGTAACTTGTAAGTTCTGGAATTATATAGCCTCTAGTGTGGACCTTAGCCTATGTCTTCCTAGAAAGATAGATGATTTTATATTGGAGAGCTTTAGAGGAGGTGCTCTCAAGGGGAAAGCTTTTGTTCTTTGGAATTGTGTAGAGCTTTGGTTTGGCTTCTTTGGAAAGAGAGAAATGGCAGAAATTTTGAGGATAGAAGTACTACGCTGGATTCTTTTTGTGTAAATATTCATCACATGGCTTCTTGGTGGGCAACAATCCACAAGAAGGTATTTTGTAATTATAGCCTACAAATGATTGTTCAAGATTGGAAAGTGATGATGGTATAGTTTGTTGGAGAGGGTTCCCTCAACCCTCTGCCTTTAAGCTGTTTTTTTGTGGTGGCTATGAATGAAAGTATTGTCTCTGTTTCCTATAAAAAAAAACTCCAACTAAAAAGGAGAGGTTGAATAAGTCTTTTGGTCTTCTTGATGCCTAGGGATCATGAAAATCCCTTCATCCTTCCTTTTGATGCAGGCAACGAACTGCTTTGATGAAGACTGGAGAGGTCATTAGTGCTATTCACACCAAGGATTTTTCATTAAAACCAGTTGTCAGGAAGATGTTCTCAGAATTTTATTTTTCGTTTTCGTAAATATTGTTGGAGGGAAGAACGTTGAGAATGTCAGTATAAATGGAGAACCTTTTTGGGAATGACCTTTCACCTTCCCAAATCTTTTGGATTCTTCTAATATCAATGGAGTTAGAAAAGCTCTCGATTTCTAAGATTGATAACGTTGGATTTCTTGAAGTTGATGACAATGACTCTTCTTTTTCAGCAACTAAAACCGTAAAAGCACCAACCTTGGATCCGAAATTTCAACTGAGTGGGGCATGAAGTCACACCTATTTTCTTCCACTTGAATGATAGCATCAGAAACATCTAAAAAATTCAAAGTATTCAAAGAAATATCCACCAAACCCCCAAAGTAGCTTCCTATAGCTTCAAAGCATTTCAGAGCCAAAACTCGATGGGCAAGTCCCTGATTTTAGTCCAACCACCAAGCCATGGGTGACTTCCTTTTTATTATCAGTTTCAAAGTTCCATTTTTCTAACTTCAAGAAACCTTCCTATTTTTCTCCACTTCCCATCTGGAAACTTAGTATTCAACACTACTTATCTCCAAACTTTTTTTTTATAAGAGACAGAAAAGAATATATTAGAACCACAAACAGGGAGAACAGCCTACGGGCTTTGTCAGCCATAAAGGGATTGGCAGAACGATGTTTGGGCTTCAAATCAAGCCCCTGAAGGTGTCTTTATCTTTCATTTTCAGAATCTCAGAAGCAAAGGGTAGTTTTATGCAAGACCTATGGAACTCTAACAATCTTAATTGCGATCTCAAGCTTAGAAGAAGGCTTTTTGACATGGAGCAGGAAGAGTGGGATAACCTCACTGTGTTGCTGGAAAATGTGAAACCTAACCAAAATCCGGACTCAATTCTTTGGTGGTTAGAGAAAACAGGGTATCTCAGTTAGGTCCACTACTTTTGCACTTCAGGAAAGCTGAAGAATTCTGGAAGCTAATTTGAGAAGGGAATATACCCAAAAGGGTGAAATTCTTTCTTCTCAAATGTGCTAGATGTTCAAAGGCTTCAGTCATATGAAGAGCCTCCTCAAGGGTTTTTATCTGATAAAAGAAAAGATGAATCTGAAGTTTTGTCTGAAAATGCAGAGGGCAGCCCAAATGTTCTTCCTATTTTGGAAAACATTTTGCCGCAATTTTTGTCTGATCAAGGAAATGAACTAAGAAAAGAATATCAACCTTTGGAAGGTGTTAAGGTAACCAAGACAACTGAAGATCTGGGTGATAGCAACCTTAGTTTTAACCCTGATTTAATGTCACCTAGGACTTTTATTCCTCCCCTACCATTTTTTTATTCGAGAAAAAATAATGACTCTCCGAGGTTAATAAAAGAAAGAGGAGGATTCCAAAAGGACGATTCACCTCTCAGCCATGGTATCATTAATTCAACAAGTGAGCAGTCAAATATACATATCAAGGATAATATTTTGTCTAATGATGATGAAGAATTCAATGTTGTGTCAGTAGTCAGGATTCAGCAGAATTTTTTGAAGAGAAAGAGGTTGTTAATGAAGATTTATCGGAGGTTTCCCTCCCTAACAGAGGATTTTAATTTACTTTTTGCAGAGGATAACCAATTACGCTCTTCCACAAAAATGGATACCATTCTTTCTCCTTCTTGGGAGCAGCCTTTAGTAGTCGAAAAAGCTTCTTGTAATGAAAATCAAAGTTTTTTTAAATATTTTGAAGATGTAGGCCTTACCCTAGTTCCGATCACTGAATAACTAGGCTTTAATTATGGGCAACAAGTGTTTGATTGGTTCTGCTTTGCAGCAGTTTTGAGGGTGTTATTATAGTTTTTTTGTCTTCCCTTGATGGAGGGAGGTTTTAGATTCTTCACTTCTTCATTCTGGCAATTAGTTTGTATTAAGTGATAGTTTCGGTTTCCTCCTCGGCAGTCAGTCCTTTTGAATTGATAAGCTTTATTGATGACAATTTTTCAGCATCTATTCTTGGGCTTTAGATCTCATCTATTTCATGGGTTTTTGGTTTCTATGTTTTGATTGTTTTTCTTATTCTTTTTTCGCTTCATTTGGGAGCTTGTATCTTTGAACTTTTTTCTTCTTCCTTTTCATATTATCAATGAAAATTTTGTTTGTTGTTAAAAAAAATAATAATAAAAATAAAAAAATTGCTCTACTTTTGCTTAAACCGGAGGGCTTTTATGTAACCCTTCCTTTCAGGAAAGGGTCATCTTGTCCCTTTATCCCTAGGCTGTATTTTGAGTGGTTTTTGAATGAAGTTTTCAGCCTTGTTTCTGATTATTTATAAAAATAAAAATTTTAAAAAAATGTGTATTAAATTGTAACTCTATCGAGCAAAAATACTTGATGTTTAAGTTGACGAGAAGCAGATAATAATTAAACTAGTGTAGCCAATCACTTAAAAGTAGGTGTAAGTAGTTTCTTACATCAAGAGGTGGGTTAAGGAGTTCAATTCCATTGCTTATTTGGCCATATGGTTCCATCAGATCAACCACGTTTTGGAGATCTTCTTTAGACAGTGTTAATCCAAGATGATTCACCAGCATTTTGTTTAGTTTCTTGACTGTTCTTGTTTTCTGCATCCACTTGGGAACAATACCACTGAAAGTCTGTATAACAAAGATTTTCCTGGCATCATTCAGTAGAAAGTATCCAGAAAAATGAAACAGATACTTCAAAAGGAACAAAAAGGAAAATTACATGAAGTGACTATTTAAATAATGTGTCTTCATATACGAAGCTCAATGATAATAAAATCATATCTTCAAGAAAGTATGCAGTTGGAGAAGTCACGTGTAAAAGAATGGAAAAAGTGCCATCTTTCTGACTCTCTTTTTCCCCGCTTTACAGTAATGATTCCAAAGTGGAAGCATTCAAGAATACATCATTTATTTACAACTGAATCACAAGGCATGTTGTTTTAATTGACGACAAGGTGGTAATTGGAAACTCACAAAATATAGACATCTTCCTACAGGCTAAACATCTCTTATTCAGTGAATATAGATAAAATTTAGACACAGAACATATTTTTACAAGAAACAAAAGAACTTAATTCACAGTACCTATTTAATTACTATTTAAAAAAAAAAGTACCAAGTTAATTATAGACAAAACATGAAAGCGTGAAATGCAAAATGTAGGTCATCATGTTCGTTCTATAGCTTGTTCCATAATTTCCCTGATGAATATAAATAGGATGGGGTAGAAATATCAGGTGAGTGATATTTTGATATTTTGTTACAGAACATCTAGTTTTCAAATAGTGAGAAAATAAAACCACAGACATATAACAAAATATCACTCACCTGATATTTCTACCCCATCCTATTTATATTCATCAGGGAAATTATGGAACAAGCTATAGAACGATGATGTACATTCACAGAATCACAAGGGAAAATTAGATAATCCAGCAAATTTTACTTTACTGATAGAGGTAATCAATAGATCATCGTGTAAACACTAAAATACGAAGCAGTTACATTTCTTCATTGGTCTATGGATTGGATCAACCCTCAAAATAAACCTTTCCCGAAATGAGTTTTCAACAGCACCATTAATCCTCCTTCATTTTGAAAAGTTACCTTTTTTCTGACCTCAAAAAAGTAAAAAGAAAAAGATGCTCATTATGACATGACACACAATCCCTTGATGATTTTTTTTTTTTAAGAAACCGAACTTTTCATTGAGACAAATGAAAACAGAAAACATATAAAGGCCATACATCCAATGATGATTTAACATAGGAGCACTTATGAGCTAGCAAAATTTAAAAAGTTCCCTCTAGCACTAGTAACATTGGAAACAAATTTATTTGAATGAGCAAATCATTATTTCTTACAGCAAACCAACTAGAGTAGCCCATCAGTTCATCAGTGTCAAGTAATTTGCTCCGAAAAGCACTTCCTTCCAAAGCCACAGGGACAAGTTTTAGTTCCACCGGGCGTAAAAGGGCTGTCTTCTCAGCAACCTAAAAGTAAATATCTCAATAAGTGACAAAAAAATAAACAAATAAATTTGAAGTGTAATGAAGAAGGAAAACAGTCCCATGAATTAGTCAAACAAAATGCAGATAAACTGACCCAAATACTAACAGAAAACAGATAAAATCATTCTGTGGATCTTTAGTTGTATATATTTTCATATTAGGGCCTCTGTAAGGTAATTCGGAAACATGCTTTACCAATTGATCTATTAAAAGAGAATTTATTACAGTAATTTTTAGAAGAAATGAAAATATTTCTCATACACAAAGGTAAAACACTAGGTCGCTTTAAGTAGAGGTCAGATGCATTCCTACCCAAAAAAATAGTACAATAATCTACTACTAATTATAGATAATATAAATGGAAAGGCAATTAATAAATATTTACTAAAATACATAAACCAACAATTACCAACTCCAGGATCTGACTTGAGGTTTGTTACATAATAGGCAGCAATTGAAAGAATACTTTCTTGTTTGTCATTCACTGAAATAGCAAACACATAAAAACTCGATAGAACAAATCTTGGACCGAAATTTTATTTTATTCGAAATCAAGATTAGGAATTTATTTTTAAATAAATATCTTCATCTTAGGAAAAATAATTTCTTTAATTTTTCTCACTTGGCTGGTTTTCTTTAATTCTTTCCTACTTGGCTCGTTTTTGTATTCTAGAGAAATTGTTTTTAAATTCATTCTCCTCCCTTCTTACAGACATGAAATTCTAGGATCAATCTAAATTTTTTGCTGTCATCAATGATGTGTTTTGGAAAGTTGTCATAAATGTTTAAATTTTGGACTAAAATCTTGCACTCTATATGAAATGTAGTAGGTGTCTTCTCAGAAACCTAAATCCTAAAATTTTGTCTGCTTTGTGGATTTTGAAAAGTTCAGTGTTTCCTTTTAATTGAGAAGTCCTACAAACCAAGATTTTATGAAAAATAAAAAATAAAAGTGCACTTTTCCAGAAAGGAATCTAACCATAATTTCTTTTTTGGGAGAAAAATACAAAGTTTTCTTATTGGACACATTTTAAGCAGAATAGACGTGTCAGATACTAGTTGAAGAAATTCAGTACTAGTTGAAGAAATTAAAAATAAGTCTGCACATATGTGAAACACTTTTTATGCGGTAAGAAACTGTGAAACATTTCATTAAGAAGTTTAAAAGTTTATGTAGAGACTAAGGTGGGAGAGAATCCAATGTTCTTTATTCTTATTAAAGTCTATATATATAGACAAATATACAAGGTTGACCTAATCTTATAAGGAGAAGGTAAATGACAAATTAATATTAATACAAGAATATAAAATATACTAATATATACTCTAACACTCCCGCTCAAGTTGGTGCATATATGTTAATCATGCCCAACTTGTTAGACAAATAATCTATTCATGCTCCATTCAATGCTTTAGTAAAGATATCTCCTAGCTGCTCTCCAGTCTTCACATACCCTGTAGCCACCAATCCTTATTGTATTTTCTCACGTATATAATGACAATCAACTTCAATGTGTTTGGTTCGTTCATGAAATACTGAATTAGATGCAATATGAAGAGCTGCTTGATTATCACACCAAAGTTTCATTGGAGTGGTGATGTCAAATCCCAATTCAGTCAGAAGCTGATGTATCCATACTAATTCACACACCAACTGTGTCATAGCTCTATATTCTGATTMAGMAYTCGARCGCGACACCACGTTTTGTTTCTTACWTTTCCAAGAAACTAAATTACCTCCGACAAATACACAATATCCTGAGGTTGATCTTCTATCTTCCTTAGAACCTGCCCAATCAGCATCTGAAAAACATTCAATATTAAGATGACCATGATCTTTATATAACAAACCACGTCCAGGAGCACCTTTCAAATAACATAGAATATGTTCCAATGCGATACAATGGTCAGTTGTAGGAGAACTCATAAACTGACTCATAATACTGACTGGATAAGCTATGTCTGGCCTCGTAACCGTAAGATAATTCAGCTTCCC